TGAACTTGCAGCCTCCCTTTTCCTCTTTGTGCACCCCTCCCTGCAAAGTGCCCCTGCCCCAGCCTTCAAATGGACTTTATTGCTTCATGGAAATAACTATGTGTTACATAATTCTGTTTTTCTTTTTTCCAGATTGAAAGAAAGTGAAAGGAAAATGCTTTAAGAAGATGCTGTTAGAAGAAATATACATGGTATTTCCCTTAACTTTGGATTTATTTTAGAGAGAAAAGCAAAACATGAACTTTCCACATTTCTACTACTTTAGTCACCAAGCTTAATGTTGTGAAGTGCCTACATCATAAAAAATGCCTAGATAATAAAAAAGACAGCGAAATGTCTCCCACATGAAGATTTGAGAGAGTAAACAGAACACAAGAGTGATTCCATGTTTCTACTCTTCTCTTATTTAAAAGCAATTAAAATTCTACACATTCTAAAATGAGACAAACAAGATTTATCACAGTTTCATGCTATCATATTGTTTTGCCTAAAGCAAAAAAAAAAAAAAAGGAGTTAAACCTAAAAATTTGATCTCTGGAAGAATTTTAGAAAACCAGTTTTGTATGTTCCAGGCTTTTAAAGAAAAGCAGAACTTGGGAGTTTTCAAGTCTGTTTTAAAACAACTGGCAAGTTACCAACTGTGGCTATCCATGTGAATCTGAGGCAGGAAGTACTAAGGAAATTTTAAACTTATTCCCTCCCTCGGCAAGATATTCAACATTTCCATGTGTAAGGCGTGGGCTATGGGTTGCGATATTTTGCTTTGGAAGGATCTGAACATTCACATCTTTATAAGAATATCTTTTGTCCCTCATCCCAAAGGAGCTCCTTCTTTTGTTTTTTTCCCTACTGCTTGCTTCTTCTTGTGTTTTCAAGTGTTTGTGCTTTCTGTGCACAGCCAGTTGGACTCCAGCTCGACTTTTTAAGAGTTGGGCATCAGTCCAGGCTGCAGATGGTGAAACTTCAGTCTGAAATCATCGTGCAGTTGATGAATTACTCTTTACACCTGACCCCTTCTACATGCAAGGATCTAACATAAGTACCAAGAAAATAAAAATCTGGCCTCCTAATCTGAACCCCTTAGCTCGGGACCTTTTGGGGAACCAGAAGAAGAGAATGAAATAGTGATTTAGGGCAGCAGAGTTAGAAACTGTGCCCTGTGTGGAGAGAGACACAGTAAGCTGGTAAGGGTTTGGAAAAGAAGAAATAAACTTGCTGTGTGCTGGAGTGATTTCTTAAATTTATGAAGATGACTGAAATTTTTCCTATCTATTTTTAAACTAAAAGATACCAATTCACCAGGCTTTAATTTTTTACCTTTTTTTTTTCTTTAGGTTTCCTCCTTTAACTAGTTTATGTTTTCAGTAAAATAATGCCAAAGTACCTCACATTTAGAGTGAAATTTAACTGAGCCTTCATAATCTAACACCAACAAGGTTGGTTTGGGGTATAATTAAAAATGTTTGGTTACAACTTACCAGATATCATTTGTGTTTTGTCATGAAACTATTTTGGGGGCCCTTTTTCTCTAAAAAGTTCTGACTATTCTGATTGGCCTTGCAAATAGCAATTTGCTTTATAAATTTGTTTTTAATCAAGTCATGCCTCCTGTATAATATAACATGTCAGTAACATTTCTCATTAGCCTTAATAAAAAGCATTCCTTCTTAAAATTACTTTATTTTGGTAAGAAAAGTGTTAGTCAAAAAGAAAATCAATAAAATCTTTTAAGAGGAGAGGTATGAAGAGGGAGCAGGCTATAGGAATATTGCTGCAAATCAGTTACAAGTCAACAAGTGTGCATGTTGTTTAGTTTACATATAGATTTTTCTAACACAAACCATCTGAGTATTTGGAAAATGATTCAAAAGCTTCATACATAAATATTTTATTTCCATTATTTAAGCAGAGTTAGGAGACTGCTTCTAATGTAATGGGAAATAGGAACAGAGAAGGAAAAGAAGTGTCACAAATTTCCCTAAAACTTGAATAGGTATTTGAAAGAATGGAAAACGTTTGCTTTTATTTTTAACATTTCATTTCCATTCTGCTTTATCATAAAACATAACAGTTGTATTGAACAGTACACTGTTTAGGTAGAAAGTTCAGTGTTTTGCATTTTCCGAGTAACTATAGCTCAATTCTTTAAACATCCTATAGAAAACCCTGACTGAAAATGAAGCAAAATTTAAAACCCAAAAAGAACAAATTTCAGTAAATATATATTGTGGGTTGCGAATAAAAAGAACCCCTCCAGATTTAGACAACACTTTAAGGTATGATAAATCAGAATATGGTTTTTTAACCATAGAATTCTATTTTTATCAACCAAAAATATTCTTTTTTTGTGAGCATTGTTTTAAATAGCTATGATTTTTAAAACTGAGTTAAAAATACATGCCAAGCTTAGACTAGTGGATTTTTTAAATTCCACCTAAGCTTACCAAATAAATAAGCAACATACACTTTCTTTAAAACAATTATAAACTATGTTTTGGGATATAAGTGTAAACAGAAAAAAATAATATAGAAATAACTCGGTTATTATCCTCTTAAACTGGGGCTTGACAGTGCTTCACAGTATAGGATTAAACCTGTCAAAAAGACCCATATGTTAAAATATTATTATATATTGACACTTCCTCCAACTCCCTCTGAATCCAAGTTTCAAAATAAGGTAAATTTTCATATCTTCATCTTCCAGAATGTTACTGATGTCTGTCATTCCAGAGACACCATAACAATATTCAGCAACTTTACGGCTCTGTTGAATGCTAACAACATGATAATCAATATGTACTTCATAATAGGCAAAATAGATGATCTTGTATTCCAACTACCTTGATTTAATTACCTGAATATCAGTTTAGGACGCCTAATGGATCTAACTTCTTTAAAAATATTCCTGAAGTTGATGGCTTCGGCTGGCTTGAAAATAACAAGATCCAGATGCTGTCTGTCTACACAACCCTAAACTACCTAGGACCCCAAAACCAATATTTTAAAACCCGCTCTATATTTTTTTAGTCTCTTCTCCTTTTCATCACCACTGCTTCTTCTTTACTCTGATTACACACATACCCACACACACAAACAAAAACAAACACACATGCTTTCCACCGGAGTAACTCATTTTGAATCCTGTATCTTTGATTTAATATTCAAAGCATTTTATGTCCTGCTAGTAACAGGTTAAAAGAAACCTCCAGCAGAAAAACAAATCATTTCATTCATTTCAATCTAAAGTTTCTTTGCTAAATATACACAGCAGTAGAAAACAAGGACCAAAACAAAACATGATCTTTTACACATTTGAAAAATTTAGTCCAGTGAGTAAAGGGGATGGAACGCTCAATATTTTTCAGGCAATCCTGCAGCTTATTGTTTTTGTTTCTTTGGGGGATGAAAAATGGCTGTGAATTTCCCCCTTTTAACTTGCCCTTGCTTTGCCATTTCCGTGAGTAATGGCAGGCAACATTCTCTACCCAATCCCCTAAAGAGTTAAAACTCAAGGCACTGAGCAGGAAGGCTGGTCTATTTAAGCAGCAGCAGCAGCAGCAGCACAAACTACATGCTCACAGAGGCAAAAAGCAATGTGCGTCGACCTTGGAGGTGCAGAGCAGACCACAGAGCAAGTGAAAAAGAAAAAAATACACAGACATAAGTGACACTGTTTAATGCAATACTGAAAGTCCTCTGGCTAGTCTAGCTACAAATAGGTATTGTTTGATGAGACAGAACAAATGAGAGATAACTACAGCATGAATTACCAGACCCTAATCACATCAGCGAGTCCTGGTGACAGCAAGATCACTCGGGCACGCCTTGTTCACTCTCAGCATATTTATTTATTCAGAAGATTGTTGGGTCTGGCTACAGCCACACAAAATAACATCCTTGTACTCCACTCGCGGTGGCTACACTACTAACCACCCCCCATGAAGTCCAATTTAATTGACAAATTGGGACAGCGAATTCACACCTGAGAGTCTTTCATGTCTTTAACTGCAGGATAAAGTTCGGGGTTGGCACTGCCCATTGCTTAGTTACGTGGGCTTGCTTGTGGCCCCTGATGATCATTTAAGCGCTCTCTTCTCCCTCTCCCTCTCCCTCTTCCTCTCTCTCCCTCCCCGCACCCCTCTACACACACACACACACACACACACACACACACACACACACACACACACA